GGCCCGATGATGTGGACGCGTAACGATCGAGTTACCGCGTTTTTCGCTTCCACAGCGGAATCCGCTGGGCGGAAGCCATATTCCACACGAGGTTCAACGACCGGCCGTGTATGGGCGCGCTTTAAGCCCACCTTACGGGCATCTTCAACCTACCGCCTCTGTTCCCCGTCAAGGTCATTGGTGATAACACCACGTCCCTCAGTTGACGAGAAGTCAAGGAACGGACATGGGGTCCGCAAGGCGCGAGCAGGACTCGTATCACGCTGCTGGTGCAGCTCGACTTCCTTGTCATCTCATGCGGGAAAAGGTGTGTCAGACTCGTAGTCGACCAGCCCCACATTCTCAACGAGGTCATTCGTCACTGATAGCGTGCACGGAGCGCGACACTTGTGCTCATTAAGCCTAGGATATAACCCCCCGGTACCGCGGACACACTGTCCGACATCGCACCGCGTGCGGGGGGCGAAGTTGGGCTCTGTTCGTGCTTGCTGTCAGAACCAGCGAGACTTGGTGTTTTTTTATGTCGTGGACACAGGGCTCATTGAGCATGGAAGTTGTTAAATTCCAATAAATTGAGTTGCAGTGTCCAAACGGACACGCGAGCCTCGTTGAGGCAATAATCGATTGGAACTGTAAATGTTCTCAATTATAATGGGGGAGGGTGTAACGAGATTATACGTACCCTAGTAACAGGTATTTGTGTCACACGAGATGTACATGGTGTGACTGCACCCAAACAAGAATACGGTATGTGCTAGGGTTAAGCATGTATGTAGATTTTACTATATATATTTTGTATATTTTGGAAGATCTAAACTTTTAAAATTAGAATAAAAAGTTAGAAAAAATCAGATTTGAATTTAAACTGAAGAGTCAATTTAGCCTTGAGAAGGCAATAATTACTCTTGGGATAAGCGGATTGCGACCCGCTAACTCATACTTGGTTCTTGTAAAGAACGAAAGGTCGGTGACCTAAAGTACGCTACCTCAAGCGCTAAGCTACGGCAGACTCGCTACAGTTGGTGTTTTAGGCACTTTTCTTTAGACATATGTATTTTCAAGCGGCGGCACGTGTTCAAAAGCCTTTATCGCTGGGCAGCGGTAAAAGCGCAGTGCTTGTGGCATATTTGCAGAGCAAGCGATGGCCTCATGCGGATGTGCCACGTCTAGCAACAAGCTCGTAGACTTAAAGGGTTGCTTCCATCGTTGTCAGTTATAGATGCGGATCATGTCAAGGAGGTGAGGCAAACTCCATTTAGTGTGCGCGTTTTGGCGCGGGAATGTTGATTGCTATGGCGTGTGGTGGAGATTGAAAATCGAATGGTGTATAAACTACATTTTTCTGTAGTAGTCACAGTCTCACAGTCGCTTGCATAATGGCGACATACTATCTATTGATTTAATTGAAGAGAATAGCAGTCGCCGTATCATTTTAAACTTCAAGGCAGCTTCGGGAAGGGCAAAAGTGAGCAGGGACTTGGTGCTTCTTCGTTTTCTCAAAATTTCGAGCTTTGACCTCCAGTGAAAACCTGAAACGCTCCACGAAAACGCCGTCAAATGCCCACGCAAATGTGCCCGATTTCGGCATGAACGAATCATAGGAAGACAGTGCTGTGAATAACAGTGTCTGCAATAGCTTAGAGAACTCAATCATTTTGAAAAGGAAGACGTTGATGGTCTTAATTATCGGAATAAAATCAATAGACAAAAATCTTCCGAAGATCCTCGGCTTAGATTTTTTTTTGCAATTTCCCGATTTTGGAGGCAAATGGTATTTCAGATGCGACAACGATGAATATCAACATCTTGTCCGTCGCAAAGAAATAAAGAAAAGAACACGAGGGGCTATTAACAAGCTTTGCATTCGCTCAATGCTAAACGTGAGCAACGTCGACTATTGTTCATAAGCAGGACTATGGCTGCTGATAGATCTTTCATCTTTCTCTCCTCGTTTCGTATGGATTGTACGAAAGAAGCGTCGTACGACGCTCAAGAGTTCTCACAAGTTGTTTTTATAGGGTCCAATAAAGGCGGCGAATCTGTTTCGCGATTTCCCGATTTTGGATGAAAATTATATTCCAGATACGACAACGGCGACTATCAACAAGCTTCCAGCTCTGCAACGAAATGAAGAAAAGCACACTAGGTATTACCAACAAGCGATATATTCTATTAACTTGAATCGTGAGATACATTGACTATTGCGCAAAAGCAGACTGAGTCTGCTGATAATTCTTTCTTTGGTCTCTTCTCATTTCGTGTGGATTGTATGGAAGAAGCGTCGTACAATGCTCAAGAAGACTTGCAAGCTTTTTTTTTTCAGGGTTCAATATAGACGGCGAGTTTGTTTCCCCATTTCCCGATTTTGTTGGCAAACCGTTCTCCAAATGCGACAATGGTGACTATCACCAGCTTGTTGCGTGACAAGAAAATAAAAAACAATAATAACGAACAATCGTTAAGTTCACTCGACGGGAATCGTGAGCAACATCGTCTATTGCGCAAAAGCAGGACTGAGTCTGCTGAATGTTCTTTCTTCAGTCTCTTCTCATTTCGTGTGGATTGTTTGGAAGATGCGTCGTACAATGCTCAAGAATTCTTGCAAATTTTTTCTACTAGAGTTCAATAAAGACGACGAATTTGTTTCGCAATTTTTCGATTTTGTTGGCAAACCGTTCTCCAAATGCGACAACGGTGAATATCAACAGCTTGTCGTGTTGCAAGAGAATGAAGGAAAGCACGTTAGGTGGTAACAACAAGCATTGCATTCGCTGAATGTAGATTATGATATGGAACATTGCTAGCAACAACTCAAGAGGTCAACAGCAGCAGCCAGGCGATAGATGCATTGTTAGTACCAGCGAAGCTATTGCATTATATAAATTATTATATTTTGAGTAGGTTGTGTGATGTTTTCAAATGGAATAGATGATAATACGTTTGATCCAGTTTCAGTCCATGTATGATCTAACCAGTACTGTTATTTGTTATTCGATGGGGTTTTGTACTTGAATAGGATGATTGTAGGTATCTCAATAGTATCGTTTATAAATATTTTTCATAATCGCGGTGTGTTATTGAAGCAAATCGGGAACCACAATAGGGCTCTATATAGCTCAAAGATGCCAATGTTCTGATCCACTTTTCTAGAGTCATGTATTTTAGTTTAGTACAACAACAAAAATTCTGTGGTCTGTGTATGACCATTGTTCAATAATTTCTGCAATCCAAATGAAGTTTTCAAATGGGATTTACGTCAGTCGACGGATTGCTGGAATTGAGCAGCAAGGGGTGAGGCGTGTCAGTTGACTTAAGCCTTCCTGAGTGAGTGTGTGTATACGACGGGCAATTGCATCACACTTGGTAGCATGATAGACATTACAATGCCGAAAACTTCAATGGATTTATCGATGATGGGGACACCACAGGCGGTGGTCGTCCTCAGCAAAAGGGAGGAATATTTGCTCCTTACATACTCGCAATGGGAGTGTGTGGCGAATTTGCAATCTTTAATAAAGAATCACACTGTCTCCGATAAGCTCTAATTGGATCAAGAAGCGACAACTTAGCGCTTGGCAACTTTTGGTGCGTATGAGCAAGGATTGGGAGTTATCGCAGATCATACCGACGCTACTTTTGTCACCTGCTCCAAAATTGGTGGTCCCACCGTCGGAACACACGGAACGTACCTTGAAAGTCAAGGTGAAAAGCTTTCACGGGTACGAAGATAAAAATTTTGCGTTTCGGCAACGCGAAAAGGACTTCGATATCCCGATACGTGATGACCGCAGTTAGGTGGCCTTTACTTAGTCGCATTTGGATGGCCTGGCGAATGATTGGGCGATGACATGGAAGTCAATCGCCCTGGCTACTTTTGCCAGCAGAAGCTGATGAGGGCCATAATCGATATTCCTGCCACCAAATGTTGATTTCGATACCGGTCGAAGTTTTGTAATTCCATCAAGACAACAGCGCATTGTACGACTATGTATGAAGCTTCCAGTTCTTCGTACTAGTATGGCCAGCAAACCACTACCAAAAGATGGTCACTGTGTTTATGTAAGGACTTACTTATTGTCATTCGAAGACTGAAGTCTTTCTCCAGAGTCCGAGGACTCCAGAAGATGCAATTATGATTGTATTGCTTGAGGACTATTGTCAGCGTCATACCTTTGGTCGGTCGGTCATCCCAATGGAAGCGCTATCAAAAATCCAGACCCAAATTGATCTTAGCTCGGTGACTGTTCGTGGACAGGAATGTTGCTGTTTTGGAGGTCAACAATTCGGTCGCATCAGCCAAGATTGTGATTGTCTACGTGAGAGACGACCCTTTCAAGGCAGTTCTTGTCCTATCGGCTCCGAGTCAAGTAGTTTCGAAACCGCGAGGCGTTTGGAAAACTCCGGAACCCAGTAACTACAGGGCAGTCTACTCGGGCAATTAAAAACTCATGTAAGCGTGGTGGTAGAATGACTAATGGGAATTTAGTCCTCGAAGGATAGTTGTCCTTTGTTAACGCCACGAGTCGAAATGGTCACGGCGAGTGTGAAGATTTTTGGCTGTCCTTTTAGAGTCTTGATTGACTCCGACGCATCGCGTAACTACGCGGAGAAACAAAGTCTTGCTGAAAAGAATTAGGAGCTTTTGGATGCACTAGATAGAAGCGAAGGCTTTATCTCAGTGAAGATGACCATTGGTGCAGTGATCACCGAGAAGAAGATTATGGTTGATTTCAACTGAAGATTAAAGAATACAACTCGAAGGACGTATTCACAGCTCTCAAGATGGACAGCGGTATGTCCTGATTGATACATACCGTGGCTTGAATGCACGAGCCATGGATCGATTGGCGATCGAAAACGATTGAGAGTAGCTCTCCTGGCGGAGGTGAACGCTTAGGACAAATGGACCCTCATTCACTATGAACCAAATAAGCGCTGGAGCACTCGGAAGTCATATGCTGCTGGAAATAATCCAAACGTCATTAGTATATGTCGTGGAATTACAATTTCCAGGGTAAGGAAGTTACGGAGTTGTATGGAGTGGCCACGGGTGACCACTCAGGTGATGTGTCGGTCGACCAGGTGGTGCATGAAACTGTCCATTTAAAAACAAATGATTTGAAAGTGGGCATGGCGGTTTGTCCAGCGAAATAATTTATGCGGGAGAGATGCCGGTTATTGCCCCCTCAAGACAGTGTCGACATGTGAGTTATGGAAAGTTGATACCGTGGCTGGATATGCCAATACTACCACGAATACAATGGTCGAGTCTGATTATGGAAGATGAATTATAATTGATCATACGGGTGATGCTCCCATCCGTTGTGTGGTTGTGCACAGACATGTGATGGGGTCAACGGAATTTGTTGATCGCGGTACTGATACTCCCGTTCTATATGCGGTTAAGTCCACGGGTGAGTTACTCCAGCGTACAGCTCCCAATGATAAAAATAAAGCATGCGAATACGCTGGACCACGAATTGTGAATACAAAGACTGGTTATGAAATTGCACCGTAGCTGACGATGGAAGAGCTAATGCAACTCGAGGAATCACTTACAATGACATCCTACACGACCTCAAGTGTGATGACATTGCGGAGGTCGTTTTGCTACAGTCGAAGGTCATTATCAGTTATGGATGATTCGGTTCACGGGAAATTTCATCAACGTATGGAGTCATGCAGAGGGTCTGCATTTTTGAAGGATCCAACTGATCCTTAAAATACATTTGTTATGGAATACAATAAGGTTGTTCTTAGCGTGAGGTAGCTCTCTGGCATTTGCCCAAACGTATGGTTCGACACAAAATTGATCGTGAACCTAGCTCAAAGCACGCAGTGCTTCGACAGTGGCACTGTCGCGTGAGCAAAGTGAGTATATTGATGGGATGCTTGCTCAAAAGCAAGCTGATGCTTTTATTACAGAGAGAAAGTCCCCTCACAGCGCACCAACGTTTTGTGTACGCTAACCGAATGGTAAATGGCGTAGTGTTCACGCCTATAACAAGTAAAATGCGCAGATTATTTCCGCTCAAACGCCGGTTCTGTATAAAGATGTCATCATCCGCCGTATGCCCGGCTGTACACAGTTAAGTGTACTTGTTTCGGTTGATGGATATTATCAAATCTTGATGAGGGAGGGGGACGGTCAAGGGCGCTTCGAACGTTCTACGTAGGGCGGTTTAAACTCTATTATCGCAAAGACGCGGCTTCTAGCCTTATTAAACGTGATATTATTTGAAAATGGTTCCAGAGCCGCGGTTTTGACACGAGGATCAAAAGTTGAGCACATTCGCGTCGTCGCTTCATCACGATCTCCAGAACCACGAGGATCATCGTGAAAGCTAAGCCCAAACGAGCGATTGTGGCAGTCGGAACGTCGACAGGAAGCTGATGGCTGGTAATTGCACTGGCGATTACTCCATAAAGTATATCAATCCAAATCAGAGCGAGGTCGCTTGGCAGGAGGCTACCCATCATCAGCGGTAGCAGCCGAGGCAGAGAGAGAAGCTTGCAGATCCTGCTCTAATCACTGGATGTAATTTTCGATCCCTAGGCGAGTTTCCATGACGCCATGTAAGATCGCGGACTTCGCAGACGACCAATCGAGTGTCGATTTTCTATACGGAATTCAAATGGAACTGCTGATTGTAAGGTACAGACATGAAACTTCGTGGATTTCCCCCAGCACATATATTCGGTCCGATGGGGCGGAAATACGCGGTACGAGTCATCACTCGAGCCTCCATTTAACTGAAGATTCCGTCAAACTATAAGGTGCCACCACCACTTGGTGTTAAAATTCGTGACGACGTTCAATTTCACGGTACCAAAAATACACTGTTCGACTGATATCATCGATGGGCCCTTCATAGCAATCGTCATATGCCAAAGCTGGTCGTTTGATGTCAGTTTTTAGCTCAACGTGCGAAAACGCTGTTTGACGTGAAATTATAGCATCATTCAAGTTCAATGATGGCAAAGATGCCTTCGTATTCACGGATTGAAGTGCGGACTTGCTCTGCACTCGTCGTCGGCGCAAGTCGTTTTCGACGCAGTTTGTTTCGTGTGGGATCACGAATGACCGAGTCTCAGAGTCGAAGAAAGTCTGGAGAAATGTCCTTAAAAGTTTGAATAACGTCTGAAGAAACAATTTCGAGTAGGGGGGTGGTCAAATGGAATTAGTCCCATTACACATGTTCTGTCTGGTTAACATTGACTTTATCTTGCATAATTGTATATTCCTTAATTCTTTTTCGTCAAAACCGGAGGCACTTATCAGTTTGGGTAATGTTTGAGGCCTATTGGCCATGAAATATTTCACCTCACGATTTTCTCCTTGTTCGCATAGATTGACAGCTCGCTGGAAGCAAGCAGCACGCGGTGAAGCGTGTTAATTATTTCAGTCTTTTTCAGTTAGTGCGTGTATATGGAGAGCCGTTCACGTTACAGAAAACACAAACAACATACTGGAATTGAATAAAACAGAAAATAGTACCATTGGTATGTACTGGCTACGGATGGCGACTTGTTGAATTGCTACTTGCCCTCGTGTTGATGAGTAAGTACCCACGTATATGATTCTTTATACTCCGATCGGCCATACGGTGCTCGCTTTGCAACCAAACTAACACAGTTTGGCCCATGTGATGGATATCTACGATGAAGTGTAGACATGGTTTGGAGCCAATGGAAATTCTCTATTTGCGATTTACTTTGTGAGTAAGTTTACATTGCAGATATATGTGATAAA